CACACGTATAATAATTTATCAATTACTATATCTTACTATCAATTAAATAAGCTTGAATAAAAAACTGCCGTTAAACGCAGAAATAAATATAAATGTATATGTGCGCGTAAAATGTTCATCTTTTGAAATAATTGAAATAATTTTACGTGATCTGATTCTTTCGATACGTTGATAGATTAAGAGAAATTCGATTGCGAACAATGCAAATATATACATATGCAATATTTATAAGAGGTCGCGCAAGAAAAGTTGTTCGGCGCGTGTATTTTTAAAAGAATTCATCTGCAAGTCTAAAGTCACATCAACACGTTTCAAGAAGGAATCGTCGAGATTCTTGCGTTCCATTGCACTAATTGTAAAAAAGCGTCGAACCGAGATGTAAAATACGTCAAAACTGTGTGTGTGCGTGCGTGCGTGCGTGCGTGCGTGCGTGCGTGCGTGCGTGCGTGCGTGTGTGTGTGTGTGTGTATTATATAAACAGTATAACGTTCGAAAAATATCGGGATACACGCGATGCGAACTGCGAATGATACGTATCACGTATCATCTCCATCGTTTTTTAAGCGTGCACGAATTAATTGTTTTCGATGATTCGACATAAAAATCTGAAATATATTAGTTACGTACGTAATTAGAGGCCGACGAAGGTAGAAACGATGAGATCGATGAGAACCGCATTGGGTGGCGCGCGGGCGAGGTCAAATTGATGATTATCGCGGTCCGTAGAGAGACGCGCTCGAATGCGGATGCTGCGAATGCATCGGATAATGAACCGTGTTGACGTGAGCCGACGACTGTCCATGATGGCTCGGATAATGCGTCCAATGGCTACCTGTTACGGTGCCCGTTGCGCCGTAGAACTGATGGTGTTCCTGGGAGGTAGCGGCGGGTATTACACCCGGAATTTGCATCGGCGCCGGAATCGGCATGGCGTTGTAACCGGATGGGAGAAGGGTATTTATGGTGGTACTCGCGGTATTCGTGACTCCCGTGGCTGGCCTTTTGGCAGGATTCGGCATCCCTGCACCGACGGCCGCCACGCCGTCGCAATCGTCCGATTCGCAATCCCGAAAACCCTTGGCGAACGGGTTACTGGCAATCTTGAGCTGCGTTATCCGATGGTTCTGGTATGCGGTGACCGCGGTGAATCTAGTCTCTGGAAAGGAAAATGTCTTGAAGTTCTCCGTGCGAGGATCCGGCGCCGAGCCTGGTGGCGAAGGAGCGACCACTATGTGACAACGTGGCTGATAACGGTGCATCGAATTCAGGATAATCTGCAATGCAATATAAAACGCGCTCCTTCAACATTAATCTTAATACATTAATCTTAATACATTTATAATGAACGCACATAAGAGATTGTTGTTTCGAACAAAATAGTCACTCGCATTACGAATTTTCTAAAGAATTGATATCATTCAATTTGATCGATTAAACGCCAGATATAAAATTCCATATGACAAGTAGACTCGGTTCAATTTCAAATGTAAGAAGAAAAAAGAAGATTGTCTCTCTCTCTCTCTCTCTCTCTCTCTCTCTCTCTCTCTCTCTCTCTCTCTCTCTTACTGAACAAAATTTAGAAAATTTGTAAATTTAAAATGTTTTAATCTCCCTCCCCCTCCCCCTTTTTTAATCTTAAAAAAGTATCAAAAATATAACAAAAGCTCGATCATACACAGCGTTACAAATATTATGACAAACGTTTTCACGCAGCCAATCGTGATGAGTACAATTTAGGTAAAATCGCCTTGGTATGTATATACGTATAAGGAAACATATACATATAAGGAGGAAAAAAAGATACGAGGGAAAAAGAAGAGAAGAAATAGGAACACGTGAAGCTCGTATTCGATGGAAGGAAGGAGCACCACAGGGGGGCGGTCGCAATGTTTGACAGCCACGAGAGACTCGGTGACTAATTAGTGTAAAAACTAACCTCCGACCCGTAATCCGACACCCTCGTCCTTTCCTTCACGCACTCACGCGCATATGCCTCGTGATGCCGTATGTATTGGTAGATTTATAAACGCGCACATAACGTTATACATATACATGCGAGAGGAAAAGCGTGTGTGGCCTCCGAAAATTAGGACGCCATTTCCCGCGAGCCAACTTTTCACAATTTCATCGACACTTTTCTCTAACCAATTTATCCAATATATAATTTTTCTCTTGCTCACAATAATTTCTCTTTCAACACGATCGAACATTGAATATTGTGCGCTTTTCTACACGTCCATCGATTATATATATAGTAGTACATATAGTACATATAATAGTTATACGTATAGATATACGTCACACTTTACGTAAAATTTTTCATCTGAAGATACCTTGACTCTTACGCTAACTTTTCCTAAAATATATTCAGACATTATATTTTTGCAATTCTTTGCATTTAATCAATATCTATACATTTCGTATCGATGTTGAAAATGATAATTTTGCTCAAAAAAAAAGTATTTGTTTCAAGTTAAATAGTAGTAAATAGTTAAATTGTATTGTACATAGATATAATAAAGAGACTGCCCGAGTCTTTTTTATGAGCGAGATATAATGCTGTCTCTCCCGAGAGTACAATAATTATGCTAAAATTGAATGTTATTTTTATTTTATATTTACCTCTGCATTTATTTTCTCAAAGATGAAATCTAAGGTCTACGATTTTTTTTAACACGATATCGAGATATCCGGAAACGCCTCGCGATAGTGAGTGTCAATTAAAGACGAGAGTCGAGGCGAGCATTCCTGAGCCGCCTACAGCGAGTTTTTATGATTTTTTTACGCGGCCTGGTGCCAGATTTTTCGGTACGCAATTAAAGGAACAAACTGTTCTGTGTATAGCGCGAGAAAAAGAACGACCTCTCGCCACAGGTCAGAGGTCCGTCCTCTCCTGCGAAAGAAGAGCGGTACGTTCTTGGGAGAAACGCGAGTGGAGACTTTCCTCCTTCTTCGAGTCGAGGATGTTTCGAATGTCGAAAAATAAATCACGTCTCGAGAATAGATGTCGGCGAAGAATTTACGATTGCATAAATTTGAAACGTGATAAAGATTATGCCTGAATACACAGAGAGCAGTATATTCGGTTGCGAATAGTACTTAGAATTGGAAAGAAGACACATACGATTTTACAAACAAGTATGTAATTATAAAAGTGTGTGATTCTAAGAATATTTCTTCTCTTGCACTTTAAACTTTTTTTGCGCTTAGATAAATTTGTAGTATAGAATATATAAGATTAACAGTATAAATTAATCGAGCTCTCAATATTAAAAACATATAAACAATAGACAATTAAGAGCTAGTACACAGTTATTATTAATATACGTTACAATTCTTCTTTATTCTCCACCAATTTTATATAATTTATATTCTTAATTGTGCGTAACAGGATGAAGGTGCAAATTATTAGTACAACCGATCTTACAAATCGATCTTGATTTGTAAGAGACGTTCACATGATCAAATGGAGAATTACTCTGGCTTGACTAATTGCGCCTACATTCAGAATATATTTGCATTTAAATTTTGGATTAAAAATCCTAATGTTATACTAGGAAGATGGCTGAAAAAAGCAGCCGAAAGCCGAAACGTTGGAAATATATGTACAGGTGAAAAATAAAGAAGAATTGTAACGTACATTAATAATAACTGTATATTATTTTTATAGTAATATTGTTTTTTATGGTATAGAAAGTTTTATAGTACAGAAGTGAAATTATAGTACGCAAAAAAATTAACGAATCACTTAGGAAGTCTGTCCTGTTCCAAAAATAGATAATATTTCACAAGAGAGTGTAACTTGGTCAAAAATGATCGTAACGAGACTTTTAGAAAAAACATTTTAAAGTCTTCAAGTTTCTACTTTCGAGATCAATATATATAATTGATATTTCGATCTGGGTTCTCACCTACCATGGAACATGTCGGAATGAATTCCGATCGGAATCCATTGTTTCCGATCCATTGTTTCATGATAGGTTTACCCTAATTGACAAATTCTATTTACAGCATTCGAACACTGTAAAAAATAAAATGTTAATTTTAACTTAAGACATATAGTGAAACTTTGTGAGACATGCACAAATGTTATACAAGCAAATTAAAGATAAAGATTCGTTCTTTCGAACGCTGTAAATAGAATTTGTCAATTAGGGTAAACAGAATTTGTTGGCAGTTTTTAATTCAGGCCATGGAATTAAAATTTTTTAATTTAACAATGTCCATTTATATCCCTATAACTTTATAAAAATCAGATCGAAATATCAATTATCGATCTCGAAAATAGAAACTTCAAACTTTAAAATATTTACTCTTTCAAAAGTCTCGTTGCGAAAAGTCTCATTTTCGACCAAGTTACACTCTCTTGAATATTACCTATTTTTGAAGGAACCTATTTTAGAAGTGAATGTTTTTGTGTAATGTATATATTTCGGCAACTTGGCTCTCAAAGGCTAAATAAAGATATAAAAAAAAGTACTTAATAGGTAATTTTACAAGTGTGTACAATGAAAGAATGAATATTGCTAATAGCATTTAAATAATAAATCTGCTGTAAACTTGAGATAGACAGACTTATAATACATCAAATTTTGGCCGAGAAGAAAACATTTGATCAAGAACTAATTTTACTAAATTTATACCTTATGCAAGCAGGGCTGGGCATATTTCAAATACTTTAATGATGTAGTTTGCTCAGCTCTGCATTCAAGATTGACATAATTGAGATTTGACATAATTCCATATCGTATCGGATATATCTTGCGTGTACAGAAATCTTGTTTAGCAATATTTGTCACTAAACGATATCCTTTTTGTATTAGGAAATATCTGGTCGAATTCGAGTTTTGAAAGCGAATGACTCGACCACCTGACCTCCTTCTATTAAACAAATTGCGATTGACACACGTGCTTACGGTGTTGGCATGTTGCGTCGTGTGATTTCGTTCATCGGTATGCGCGACATTAAGACTCAGAGAGTTTGTTTCACGATTGTATTCGGCAAGAAATTATTTTCGGCTCCGTAGAGTCTTTGCCGCGTACGTATCTACATACGCCCGCACCACTTCCCAACCAGCAGACAATGCTTTTAAAACGTTTTTAAAAATATTTATTTATAATATAAAAAATACTTAATAAATATTTTTTAAATATTTTTTAAATATTATGCGCTTAATATTAATCGAACAAATCGAAACGTATTCACGATCAATGTTCTTCAATGTTTTGATTACGATTTTTATATCTAACATACAGACATAAGAAACAATAAAAATAGGTCCTTTGATGCATGAAAAGATTGGGAGCGAGAAAACTCAATGAGAGAGAGAGAAAGAGAGAGAGAGAGAGAGAGAGAGAGAGAGAGAGAGAGAGAGAGAGAGAAATTTTATGTACCTATAATATATATCGACGAAAAGTTGAAAAGTCTTTAATTCCCTTTCAGATCCTGCATACATTGTTATAATATGTTACATCAAATTTGAAAACGTATTATCACTGAAATTATTTAATTTCTATCGCTATCGTTTAATATAGGTATATCATTTGATGTACATATAATAGTATATAATTATATGTTGGAAAAAGTCGACATTTTGAAAAAATTAACTATTTAGTATGAATTACTTATTAAAGAGTGTATGAATTTAATTGAAATAAATTTTTTTTAATATATGTGTGTGTGTGTGTGTGTGTGTGTGTGTGTGTGTGTATGTGTGTGTGTGTGTGTGTATGGAATTTCAATAAAATCAAGTGCGAATAAGGATTAGGTAATAAGCAAGAAAACAAAGACATTTACGGAATACTAATGTTTTGTATGTAATTAATTCTTCTAAACTGATATTATTATTATATCCCCCAAGGTATTAATATTTTCAAAATTATTCCTAATACTTTTCGATTTGATTGAATAAATATGCATTATTTCTGATTATAATAGGAATTATTAATTTATAACGTTTATATTTTATATTTCAATCTTTATATTTATGCTACTATATATGTATATATTCAAATTATCGTGACAAGTATAGGCTTATTATTATACATATATGTATATACTTATTACGCCTCGTAAGCGTTGCACTTGTACAATAAATTTTCGCAATCGATTCCGAATCAAGATCAAGATTCCGATCGATGTCGCACGATGTCAGAATAAGCAGATATGCTGACCAACGCTATTCTTTCTCGGTATAAAATACTCGTTACAAAAAATATGGTCTCTTTCCCAGGGCTTATAACTCGCGCGCAGTTTACATTACATCTGTTTACGTTATTTTACACACACGACACTCTCGCGCGGCGACAGGAAGGCGAGAATAATATGCCGCAGAGACAAAATATTTCGTGCCATATGAATAGCATAAAACTTTAAACGCATCTGATTAAATAGCTATTGTATAATTACCTATTTTCTATTTCTTTCGCCGCGAATTTCGAGCGAAGCTTTTACATTGTAAGCGACGTAATCAAAATTTAATTCTTGTAAAAAAAATTAACGATTAGAAAATATAAGAGAGAGAGAGAGAGAGAGAGAGAGAGAGAGAGAGAAAGAGAGAAGTTAATAAAAAAATGGAGAAAATTTGTTAATTGCGCGTCTTCTATCTATTTATAGTAGGTATAAGAAAACAAAGTATGTATAGTATAAAAAGAAATTATTAAAGAATCTTTTACGGAGGTATATAATTTTTTATAGATTTCTTAAATATTTTCAGTACAATATAACATTTTAAATCGCCTTTAGCAGCCATTAATTTCAATTATGATTGCATCACTAATTATTTTCAAACAACCGAGTGTTAATTAATTATTGTTAGTAAGAAAGGATGAAAATCTCACAGAGTCTGCAGCAAGACATTTACCCGACGTTAATCTATATTAATCTGTATGTATAGGCGGCGTCTTTTAAACAGTAGAAGAATCCTCGTGAAAACGTTGTTTCGTGCCGCGTCGTTTCTCTCGTAATTTCTCGTGAGCGACACACTCGTATCTTAGGTCAATTAAGACGAACTCGTGCGTAAACGACAAACACGTGGAAATCCCCACATCTTTCATTCTACTTTACTATGTAGATTACGTCAATGTAAAAAATGATGATACGAAGACATCGCGCAAAGATTCAAGCGAAGAGGGTTCAACACCGAGAGAGAAAGTCGTGAAAGAATAAGATTTTATCGCACGCAAAATTGGAAATGTTATTTTTTTAATTAAATTAAATTTTAGTTTTTTTCGTAAAAAAGTGAGATGATATTAGTTGTCGTTGCTTGAATTTTGCAATATATTATTCAAATAAATCGGAATAATTTATTAACGGCGCATATGGTAAAGAATTGCAGACATAACTGCAGCGTCCATGCTCTGCCATGTTGTTTGTACGGTCGGATAAGTTATATGACGTTAATATGACGAATAGTTGAGAAAGAATCAATTAGAATAAAGCATAGACTCACGTGTCCGTTATCGTCAAGCTGATTGTTAGTCAATTTCAACTTGTCGAAGGAAATTGGCTGTTTCATCCAATGAGCGCCACTCGCAGGACTATCGGGATGCACGTGGATCCTGGGGGGTGATATGGGATCAGCGCGACCAGCTACGACCCAGGCACTGCTGTGGAAAGCATATCGATACCTCTTGTCGTCGCACGGGACGAAATCCATCACCATCAGATACTCGGTGTTAGGGTCTAAGCCGAACAGTCGACACTGTCGATCAGCAAAATCATTCGTATATACATAAACATATATATATATATA